AGAGAGAGAGAGAGAGAGAGAGAGAGAGAGAGAGAGAGAGAGAGAGAGAGAGAGAGAGAGAGAGAGAGAGAGGGGGAGGGGGGGATCAAACATGTCAGACTCTGTTTGTTCGATGCAATCAGCACCATCTGTTACTGGCATGTTCCCAGGTGCTCAATTGGGAAAACCATACAAAGAAGAGGAGGGGACTCAGGGGAGGAACAGATGGCAGAAAGCTCTGTGTGTGAGCAGCCATGGCAGTGGAAGAGAGAAGTGTGTGCAAAAGGCTGTGAGACATATGACATCCATGCAACATTGGGTCTATAGACTCTATACTGCATTCATTGGCAAACTGTCAACAGAAAGGGAACAATGTCTCACATACAGAAGAAAAAAAAAACAATGCCAGAACTTTTCTGGAATGAATTGGACAACGATGTCACCTGCTTAGGTATGCTGAAATACTGATCCAAAGGGGGAACAATGTCTCACATGCAGAAACAACAACAACAACAACAACAACAACAACAACAACAACAACAACAACAACAACAACAACAAAACACAATGCAGAATTTTTCTTGGAATAAATTGGACAATGACGTCACCTGCTTAGGTATGCTGAAATACCGATCCTCCCTTGGATCGTTACCCACACCTGCAGAACGGAATCAAACATAAATGCCCGCAAAATGAATCTCCTGTTAGAAGTCACTCACACATAGGGAAACTACTGACTTCACCGGAATAGAATGTCCAGCCATTGAAGCCTTCAGGTTGGCTTCCGAAATGAAGATTAACTGGGGAAAAACAATAGGTTGGTGGCTATCAGATGAGGAACCCCTCCAACTACAAGGAGAGGAAGCAGCCATGACCTGGGAAACGCCAGAACTTCCGACTCAATACCTGGGTATACTTATGACAAGAGAGGGTCTGGCMCCCCAAATGKGTCAAAATATACTAACCAAACAAATCAACAAAATAGGAAAATGGGGTAACATCTTCACATCCCTCATCGGTAGAGCCCTGGCCATAAACACATCGGTTTTTTCAATGATGTGGTACATAGCCTCTATATGGACAGTTCCGGATAGCTCTATCAAAGAACTGAATCGCAAAGCCAGATCTTATCTTTGGACAGGAGACCCCAACAAAGAAAATGGCATACCCAAGATTGCCTGGCACTATGTCACGAGAAGTCCACAGAAAGGAGGTCTGGGAATTATAGACCCTGGAACAGAGACGAAAGCCCTACAGACCAAGTGGATTATCAAACTTTTGATGAATCCTGACTCTACATGGAATAAACTGGCCCTGGACAGTATCAGAGSCTTGGCACCGACACCTTCTCCAGAAGACATGGCAGGGMAGTTCWGGGTAACGAACAAGGAATGGGCCATGACTACAGGGCGTAGAAATCGAAGGGGGGATGAAGGATTAGAAGGTTACAGACCTCCTACCCCGTACTGGTCAGCACTACKCCGAATCTGGAGAAGAATAATGCCAARCAAATCTAATAGACCTAAGTCCAAAGATGAAGTTCTCARACAGCCACTTTTTGGGAATCRATGGATAACCAATGAGAACGACAACCCCCTTCCCCTGGAACACAGATGGCTCTCTTGGGTCAAAAATGGCATATGGAAAGTCGCCCACTTGTGGAATGAAGGGAAAAAAGAATGGAAGACAGAACAAGAAATCAGCTCCCAACTGAAAGGATGCCATAAACGAGGGCCTAATCTCCAATATATCCTT